TCATTTTCCAGCCAACAAGAAGCTACCAAAATGTTAAACATTAGAAAAGCAGATTTGAATTTGCAAAGAACAGAGGAATAAGTAGATCTGAGTTCCATAAATAACGAAGAAAATAAAAATGAAAAAGTAGACCTGAGACTTACCAGAGGATCGACAGAGTGGCACCGGCTATGGCAACCGGAATAACTAGCTCAATGCCAGAAAAGAAGAAACGTGTAGGAATCACTGAGAGTGAGAAAAGAGGGGATAGACCTGAGTTTTATAGTTAACGAAGAAATGGGAAGGAAAAGCTAGATCTGCGACTTACCAGACGATTGACGAAGTGAACCTCGACGGAGTGGCACCGACAGTGGCAACTGACCGACGAGATCACAGAGAGTTGGAAGGTCAATCACGATGACAGAGAGGTAGGAAGAAAAGGGGAAGAAAAGGGCAAGAGAGATTTTGCTTTTAAGTCGGTTAAAAATTAAATCCTATCCCACCGTATCCCAAGGGATACATCCCGTAATTTTCATTTCTGCAGGTTAGGACTGGACAAAATATGAGTTATGTTTTGTCCAATCCATTGCGATCCCCAAACGTGGGTTATGGCTGGTCAAGAATAATTTTTGTTCAATCCCACAATTAATCCAGTATTCCAAACGGGCTGTTCAATTCCCCACACTCGGATATAGCAAATTTTTAAAGAGAGGAAAGTCCGTGGAGGCTCGGAAATGACATCAGATCATTACAGTAGCTTATAACTAACTCTTTTTGAGACACGTGGCAGTAGAAAAGCTCTCCTCCATGCTTTTCAATTCCTCACATTTGATTATCTCAATTTTTTTAAGAGAGTAAAGCCCATCAATACCCGGCATGGACATCAGCTTGTCACGGTCAGAAATACTTAATTCTTGTAGACACGTGGAGGCAAATCGAGCATCATTCCCAATGATCCTTAATTCCCTGCATTTCTTAAGATCAAGTATCTCAAGGAATTGTAATTTACTAATCATCGAAAGATTTTCCAATTTACCACAACTCCCTATATGTACTTCTTTGAGAGACTTCATGGCATCTGGTCCAACTTCTACACCAACCAGTCCTTCACATCCCTGAATGATGAGTTTTTGAAGAGACAAATATGCAATGCTTTTCAAATTCTTGCAATTTTTAATTTCCACCTTTGTCTCATTACTAAGCAAAAGTGATGGAATGCTTTCCAACTTGGGGCATTCATAAAAGGTCATGAACATCAGATTTTTGAGAAAATTGACATTTTTTGGCATCAACTTTTTTATGTCTGACATCCATGAAGGACAACTTTTACCACAATAGGATACAATAATTAGGCCTTTCAAATTTGAATGAGGTTGGAGGCCTTCCCAGATATCTTCATCATGTTTGCATCTATCTTCACTACCATTGGATGTCTCACGAAACACCAACTGCAACTCCTGAATTGTAGCCTTCTCAAAAAGTCTTGCTCCCATGCCTTCTTCTTTGTCTCTAACCATATCCAAATTACAAATCTTTAATTCTCCCCTGAGTTGGCTTAAACATCTCAATTCTTCAATTTGACGTCCCTTCTGTTGGCCCACAACAAGCAATTGTAATGTTTTCAAACAAGTTAGTTTACCAATCCTTGCTAGCATAAGCTTCCATTAATTGAAATAAATGTGTCTCAAATTGATTAAATCCCATATTCCCTCCAAAGGCCTTTTGAGTTGCCAACAATACATAAATCTAAATGCCTGCAAATGATAGAGCTTGGTGATGAACTTGGGAATTTTTTTGATTCCAGTTTGTGAAACATCCAAGAACCTTAAATGCTTCATTTTCCCCAAAAAAGCTGGCAACTCCTCAATATTAGCACCACAGAAACTAAGTACCCGCACCTTTCTGAAGTTTCCAAGCTTATTTGAAAGACATCAACTCGTGAAAACAAGGTACGCAGTTCCCCTATTTCCATTGCTGCCATACCCTTCTTAGAAATGAGATTTAAATGCCTAATGTCTACAGGAATATCACTACTACTACCATCCTCCAAGATCACCGTTTGAGACTCTGAAACAGATTGTGCTAGATCATGTATTAAATCATGCATTTTGCAAGCAATAATACTACCATAAGAGTCTTTTTCTGCATCTTGAAATAAGGGGTATGAGAACAAGTCATTAAAATACTTGCCACCAATATCTTCCATCTCCTTGTTGCTTTTTCTAGACGGTTGAGGATATCCTTCACCCATCCAGAGCTGGATTAACATCTCCTTTTCTATGGCAAAGTCTTAGGGGAAAATAAAGCAAAAAGCAAAACATTGTTTTAAAGCAGGTATTGGCAAGCGATCGAAACTCAATTGTAATACATGCAAAACTCCATCAGCCTTTTCTATTGAATCCCATATTTCCTTGTTATCTCTAATTGATGTCCAATAGTCTTTGTTTATATTATTGCACAATGCCCCCCTATAACATTTGCAACTAATGCCACCCCTTTACATTTCTCAGCAATGTTCAATCCAATACTCTCCAATTCCTTCAATTCCAAAGAATTAGGAGAGTTGCCAAATGCTCTAAGCCTGATAATAGACCAACAATTCTCATATGTTAGCTTGTCAAGATGCACGTGCTTGGTTCCCATTATGGAATCTACTTTCTCAATTCTAGCTGTGACAAGAACCCTACTCCCACCCCTTTGTCCTATTCCCAACAAACAATTTCTTAAGTTATCCCCTTTTTGGCTTTTCTTCATTCCATACATCATCTAGAATGAGGAGATAGTTTTTCTCCTCAAGCATTTTTTTAAGTTTCTGAACTACAGCTTCTTGATTTTCAAAATCCACATGATCATTCTCATTAGTGATGAGAGGTTTCAGCATCATTGCTAATATTTGTTTCTCATCAAAATTTTCAGAAACACAAACCCACATTTTTTTGTGAAAATGTTTCTCTATCAGCTCATTGTTGTACATTAGTTTTTTTTGGGTACATGTTGTACACTAGTTTTGCCATGGAAGTTTTGCCTATGCCTCCCATACCAACTATGGATACAACAGGGAGACGTTGATCATCACTTGAATCAATCAACAACCGAACTACCTCTTGGACTTTTTTTCCTCTTCCTACAATTTCCGATGGATCACCAAGTGATGAATTTGTCTGTTGGATTCCTACATGGTCAGGAAGCTTGTTTGCAAGTCTATGTTGAATCCCTAGTCTAGTGGCCCAATCATTAAGGCTAGCTAGATTCAAATCCTTAATCCTGTTAGCTATCTTAAGGCGAAAAGCTAAAGGATTAGAAAGAGTAAAGAAATAGCTAACCTTTTTCCACATTTGTTTTTGAGTTGCCTTGTACCTTAGATGTTCATATGCAATCTCATCTACCACATTGTCAGCTTCATCAACTATATTTCCAAGCTCCTTAAGCCAAGGTTGCAGATCAGAGTAACCTGTCACCTTCTTCTCTTCTGCATCTTGCAGCACGCCCCTTACCATGCTCAGCACCACACGAAACTTCTTGAGCTCCTGCTTGAATCCCACTGCTGAGTTGAGTTGCTCGGTAGTAACTGAAATCACCTTGGATATTGTGACATCCACAAGAGGACCAAGAATAAGGTCAGCCATATTTGCTTCAGTAGTTTGGAAGAGAGAAATGCTTGGAGATTGTATAGCACAAAAGAAGAGAGAACAAAGTGAAGGGGGTAGAGAATAGCTACAGGCAACATTTATACATGCAGACAATAGAAGATGAAGGTTGAACATTAGTGCTTGTCCAACGAATGAAGGAAAAGAAAGGGATGAGTGATAAGGAGGAAAAGATAAAGGATCACCCTGCATTATATCTTTCTTAAAACACAAATATTCTTCTCCTCCATTGCTGTTAGTTAATCAGTTTACGTATTATTCCTTTGTGGTAGCAACTTAGATTTCTTTAGAATTATATATAATACATAGCATATTTCCTCTTCTAAGAAAAGAATAGTCTCTTTTGCCATCAAATAAGTCGAAATGAGGAGTGAAGAGGAGGAAAAAAGAAATAGAGGGTTCCCCCTTTCCTCTTTCGTGTGGGTTTTCTCTCTTCCCTCACCATTTAAGGCAGATTAGCTGTCTGGAATTGGACCTATTTAAATGGAGAAACATGATGTTTCAACTTTTGGGTTGAGCATCTTAAGCCCAAATTCGCTTTTTCAAAATCAAACCATTTTAAAGCCCGATTGATTTTCCCTCTTTTTGTTTTCTTGCTCCCTTTCCCGTTTAATTATTATTATTTATTTTCGGTTTATGTAACCCTTTTGTATTTTGTGACGTAAGAATGGTCTACACGCAACTTAAAATTATTTGGCAAAACCATAAGTTAAGCCCCTGAACTTTAATTGATGCATATAAGCCCTTAAACTCTACTATCAAAGCAATTGAGCCCTTCTTCTCACGCCAACTTAACTGCCGTTTATGTTTGGCTGCTTGGATGGCAAAATATTGCCATGTCATGCTTATGTGGCAAAGGAATTAATATTTGAGTGAAAATATTATTTAAATAAAGTCTTAAATTTAAATTTAATAAATAGAGTAATAGATATTAAAAAAATTTTTATATGATTCATTGTAATTTAATTTTAAATTAATTGAGATTAATATAACATTTAAATTTTAAAAGTTTAATAAAAAAATAATATCACTTAAAATGATAAATTTATAATTACGTGATATATGATATTAAAGAAATATAATAAGAAAAAAGTGCATATCAATTTTAATTTTTAAAATAAATTAAAGTTT